CGCGCAACCCGTTCTCCTCCATTCTCCTCTCGGGCTCTTGGGCACACCCGCACACGCGCCCGGCGTGAGTTTTAAGCCACCGGGTCCGGGACACGAACCGCGGTCGACTACGTGGGAGTCCAGCGACATAGCCATTACGCTAACTGCTGGTTCCCAATCCATGTTTTTTGTTGTTGATTTGATTTTCCTGTTCTTGTGTTTGTATTATTCAAGGGAAAGGTAGGTGAATATAGGCTAAGGTGTGACTCTCACTGTGAAAGGCTTTAAAGAAAATCAAAGAAAACAAAATACAAGAGTGACTCAGTGCAAATCTGGCCCCAGCCACCAACTTTTTGGCAGGAAGAGGTACATACTCTATAGAGAAGCCAGAGAGATCTTTTAAAAACTAAATCTTGGAACAGCAGTTGGCACAATGGCTATGTTGCTGGAATCCCATGTAGTTGATCTCAGTTCAAGTCCCGGACCCGGTGGGTTAAACTCATGCCAGGCACATGCCCAAGATCCCGAGTGGAGAATGGAGGAAAAGGGATTGCAGCGTGGCCATTCCCCCTGGGGGGTGATTTCTTACTTTCTGTCTCTCTGTCTTTCTGTCTTTCTGACAAGCACACACGCCCTATAGCAAAAACCTCTAAAAATAAAACAAGACTAAACTAAATCTCATCACCTTATCACCCTTTAGATCACTTTCCACTCTTTAGGCTAAAGAGTAAAACCCTGATGAGCTTACAAGGTCATGATGATTTCCCTAACTCCATCACCAACAGCTACCTCCAGCAGTGTTCCCATCTCCAGCCACACCGACCTTTCAACTCCAGGGTCTGTCCTCCATCTGGGCGTTTATGACTGGATCTTCTCTTCTTCCCATCCCCACGCTTGTAGCTCAGGTCTCAGCCTCAACCACTAAATTAGGTCTCCCTGTTGTTCACTACCATTACAACCTAATCACATAACACTGATTACAGCTGGACAGTCAGTGACATGTTTAATATCCATGTCCCCCACTAGACAGGAAGAACCATGAATACAAAGTATCAGGTACCTTTACTGCACACTGAGTGTATTACCCTCCTATCCTGCTAGGATTTAAGAACTGTGGCAAATCAGATTTGAATTCGTTTTAAAAGGGTGAATGGGGCGGGACCAGCAGGTGGCGTGGTGGTTAAGGTGCTGACATTCCCACATGGCCGACCACAGTTCAAGTCCTGGAACTGGTGGCTTACTTTCTCACATTCTCTCTCTCTCTCTCTGTTTCTCTCGCTGGTCAAAATAAAATAAATGAATGAATAAATAAATAAAATTAAAATTAAATAATTATTTTAAAAAATGGTGAATGGGGAAGAGTGATAAGATCAGATCAGGTTTCTTTTTTCTGTTTTGTTTTTGGGTGTGCACTCACTGGAAAAACAGAGAGACAGAGAAACAAAAAGCAAGAAATCACGCCCACAGGGTAGATGGCCATGGTACAATCCCTTCTCCATTCTCCTCTTGGGATTCTGGGCAAGCATGCACATGCACCCAGCATGAGGTTTTGTTTTGGTTTGGTTTTGATTTGGTTTTCTTTTTTTTTTTTTTTTCGGAAACGTTCAGGGTGGTGCACTTGCCAGAAAGACAGACAGAGACAGAAAGACAGAAAGTGAGAAATCACTCCCCTGGAGGGATGGCCACGCTGCAATCTCTTCTTCTCTATTCTCCTCTCAGGATCTTGGGGGCACACACGCACACGCACCCGTCGTGAGTTTAAGCCACCAGTTCTGGGACTCGAACCATGTTTGACTACATGGGAGTCCAGCACGTAGCCATTACACCATCTGCTGTTCCCAACCCAGCATGAGTTATTAAGTCACCAGGTCCAGGGCTTGGACTGTGATTGACTATGTGCAAGTCCAGCGACATAACGATCACACCACCTGCTGGTCCTGCAGATCTGAGGTTTAGAACAAGACAAAACTAAAGGGAGACATCGTGTGTTTCCACTTAACATGTACCAACTGTCCACACTTTATGGTAGACACTGAAAGATTGGAGGACACAGAAATGGTTTATTACCTATTGATGGTAATGTGTATAGTATTCTCAAGTGAACTGGTCTGAGGTGAATTTCATGTTGGGTATATTATCTTTATATGCCAAATGATGTGTAGCGATCGAATGTATAAAAAATAATAATAATAGGGGCTGGCAGGTGGCATGATGGTTAGGGGCACTGGACTCCCACGGTTCAAGTCCCAGACCTGGCAGCTTGCTTCCTCACTTTCTCTCTCTCTGTCCCTCTCTAGTCAAATTAAAATAAATAAATAAATAAATAAAGTTAAATAAAATAATTCTAAAAAATAAAATAATAATAATAAAATAATAAAATAAAACAAAACTAGGAATGGCTGCACAGAGGAGAAACTTATTTGGAAGGTAGACTTCCAAGGATTTATTGTTAGTTTTTAATGAGTGTAAAGATTATTGGGTCTACATATTTGGGCAATTGAACCATTTACTGGGAAGACAGTTATTCTTTTTCTTTTTTTTTTTTTTCTGGAGAGGTTTCTGCTTTAGGGGGCATGGATTTGCCAGAAAAGACAGAGAGACAGAAAGCGAGAAATCACCCCCCAGGGGCGATGGCCACACTTCAATCCCTCTTCCTCCATTCTCCTCTTGGGATCTTGGGCACGCATGCACAGGTGCCCGGCGTGAGTTTAAGCCACCGGGTCTGGGACTCAAACCGTGGTCTACTACATGGGAGTCCATCATCATAGCTATTATGCCAATTGCTGGTCCCAGGAAGAGAGTTACTCTTAGGAGGGACAAATCTACTGTCTAGGTTCAGGATGGGAAAGGACAAAATAGGAAGTTAGAAGAGAATGAAAAACTGGGACCAGCAGTTGGCATAATGACTATAATGCTGGACTCCCATGTAGTCGACTGTGGTGCAAGTCCTGGACCCGGTGGCTTA